GCAAAACTGACGAGTAACATTGTGAGGTCAAGACACCAGCAAGCCTTGGAAGAGGGTCCCTCTTGCCGAAATCTTCCCAAGGAACTCCTCCAATGTTTTCTGTAAAGAGGATCTTTGGAGTTGTTCCTTGTTGACAAGAGGTTGCTGGTCTGACCAGATAAGTTTCCTTCTTTTTTGTTCTTTTGTGTTCATTTTTTTGTTAATTTTTCATTTCTTCTTCAACCTGTGTTTGTGCTAGTTTTAAGAAACGCGTTGCTACTTGTTTAAGTATGACCAAAATTTCTCCACTGTTTCCTAGTTTGTTGTAAGTTTTTCAGTGCAAAACTGACGAGTAACATTGTGAGGTCAAGACACCAGCAAGTCTTGGAAGAGGGTCCGTCTTGCCGATATCTTCTGGTTTCGATCCAGCCTTTCGGGTCAGCTGGATGTAACAACAATCAACAGATGGAAATAGTTCAGTAACACAATTTTTTGCTCAGTAACATAAATAAACATAACAGAGCTAAATTTTTCAGTCTGATCATATTTTGTCACATTTTACGACAAGTCACCATTAAGCTCCTGTAGTGGATTCAGAGTCAGACAGAGAGCGCAGACAGTGGGATTGACCCTGTCCAACAAACAGTTAAATCTCCTACAGTGTATGTCTTTTACCATGTTAAACACAATTATATTTTAGTACCCTGATGTATTTCGTGTACGTCCTCTGCAACGTATAGAATTGGTGGCAGGTTAGATGGACTCCCTGTATGTGATTTTGACCATTCACGCGAGCTTGCGGTGTCTTTCTCACTCACGCACAATTTTGATGATCTGTTCATGCTCAACTCTGCCTGCACGTTCGTTTGACTTGACACAGCGCTACGAATGTTTCACAAAGCCAATCACAGCCTTGCACAGGTTACTTGATCCTATCTAATCAGGTGGCTATTCTGGCCGCCTCTTGGACGCGCTGTAAAAAGTGACAACAAAATAAACTGTTGTGGTGCAGTTAATGCTGTGTTGCAATACATTTTCAGTGAGTATTTATTAACAAAGACTTTTTCTTCATCCTTGTTTAAGTAGCTCAGGTGAGCCAAGCTGAGCAATGTCATTAGAACCTGAACAGCAACATGAAAATGGTGCACCACGGCACAGTAGCGGGTATTACTGAAGTTTTTTTTTCAAATCAAATCAAAGTTTTTTGTTATTTTGCTGTACATACAACAGTAGTACAAACAAGATGAGAGAGCGTTTCTTCAGGATCCAATAGCTAAAAGCAATAATGACAAAAAAAAGAAACAAAAAAAACTCTATTGTAAAATATGTCAGAGCTACGGAGTTCCAGTTGGCTGGCTGACTTCCCATTTATTATAATAGCGATATTTAACATGTCTTTTTTCACAATTTTTTAAAAAACTACAACTTACCACAACCAAACATCATAGCACAGTAATTCTAAACAAGCCGCACGTTTTGATATTTAATTTGTATGGGTTTTTCTCAAACCTGCAGGGCGAGTTATGCTGTCGGAATAGTAAGTAATAGACCTACGAGTAAATGTGCTTCAATGCTTGTGCAACAAATAATACAGGAATTTGTGTGGACTTGTAGGACACAAAAGAACAGGAAGCAGATGCTTGTGATTGTAGGAGTAACACCAGAACAGTGGGTTTCTAATTTTCTTAAACACTAAAGACAATTGAAAGCAAATACAGTGAAAATGTGGACATAGATGTTAAGAAAATGTCTAAGAATAATTTGAGGTATTTGCTTGACAGGATTCTTAAGAACTAAGTAGTTAAATTATTCCACCACTGTACATTGGCGCAGTTGGTAGCACTGTTGCCTCGCAGCAAGAAGGTCGCCGGTTCGCATCCCAATGGGGGCACCGGGATCTTTCTGCGTTTCTTGCATGTTCTCCCCGTGCAGCGTGGGTTCTCTCCGGGTTCTCCAGCTTCCTCCCACACAGTCCAAAAACATGTTGAGGTTAATTGGTGATTCTAAATTGTTCGTAGGTGTGAATGTGAGTGTGCTTGGTTGTCTGTCTCTAAGTGTAGCCCTGTGATAGACTGGTGACCTGTCCAGGGTGTCCCCTGCCTTCACCCTGAGTCAGCTGGGATAGACTCCAGCCCCCCATGACCCTAGTGAGGATTAAGCGGTGTATGGGTCATCTATTAATTTTCAATAATTCCTGACAGAAGCCAACAATTTGTTATGTAGTGAACTCATGTCAAGAGAATTTTGTAAATTGCTACATGTAGAACATATTAACAAAAACATCTTAGTAAAAAACACCTTAGTATCACAGTAAGACCTCAAATTAAGAACTTATCAACTTTTATTGGAGCAGGTGTAGATACAGATGGATGTGTTTTACATTGGGCTTATACTAATTGCCCAGTAGGGGGCAGCCAGCAAACAGACAATTTCTGAAGCAAAAGGGCATTTAAAAAATGTTTGTGTTTTTAATGACAGCTAACTCTTGTCTTTTAGTTTGAGAAAAACAGCAATATTCAAAATATTCAAATCAAGCTTGTGGTCCCTTCCTGTCTTGTGACCACATGTGTTCTCTCATTGCACACTGTATATCAAAAATATGATCTTTATTTCATTATTTATAGCAACCTAACCTCTACAAAATCACCATGTGACCAGAAAATTATACAAATACACGTAGCAGGAGAAAAATCAATAACTGCACTTATTAGTGTTGGAAATTAGTCGAAGCAGATGCTCACTCAGGTTTAATATTAAGAGCACAGAGTCGTCATTATTTGCCAGAGAGTAAATAGGAAACCCTTAAATAGCTCTGTCATTTCCAGTGTTTTTAGACACATCTTACACTGTAATCAATGAGCTCTTATCCTGAAAATTATTGCTGCAGAATGCAAGTTGAAGCAACTCAACCTGTAGAAACAGAGTATATACAGAAAAACAGCCATGTTCAGCCACAGGAGGTGCTCAGACAGCTCCGTCACTCTGAAAGACAAACATTATTACTATTTTCACCTGTTCTGATGTGTGAGTTGTTGATTCATTTTGTTTACTAGAGCTAATCCTCGATGTATTGGTGGTTACTTTAATTTGCTATCAAATTGCAATAAAAAGGGCAATATAGTGTATTCTATTATTATATATAATGTAAATGTTTGACTGGGAAAGAATGCTTTTTTAAACTTTCTGATTTGTCACATCCCAACACATAAACAAGCCTAATGTTCTATATTATTTCCTTATATTTTACTAACACACACACACACACACACACACATATATAACATGTAAATAATACATATTCAGAAGCCAGTTAACTTCATCAGTACTCTTAAATGTAGTGAATACAGCTGATATGGCACTAGACACTGACCCCTCCACAGCAGCCACAGCAGTCGCCACACAGAGCTCCCAGCAGGCCGTTCACCACCTGCACCGCACACAGCGCCATCTGGATCAAACCCATGACCAGCAGCACGGAGAACAGAGACAGATGCCAGGACACCACATTAGGTGGCTCTTCGCATATATCCCAGGCAGTTTTGTTGGACAGGTAGTCTCTTAATGAAGAGGATGAGAAAGAGACGGCAAACTTTAATCTGAGGACACTTCAATGTGCTGAATAGCAGGTTAATTCATGTGTGTTTGACATCTTGTGTCATATGTTACAGTAACATGTGACCTTACATTTAAAAAAAAAAAAAAAAAAAGAAGTGAATGTACAGCAAAGGTAGTGTGGTAAAATCATTTACTTGAAATACTTAATGAAATAATTACATTTAAAGGAGTGGTTTCCCCTAGACAAATGTCTGGCGATATCTGAGACACCTGATGATTTTCTAATGACATCAGTACAACAGAGCTGGTCATACTTAGACTAGAAATAACCCAACAGCATCTTTAGTCAGCCAGGTTTAGTCATTTTTTGTGAAATAGATGATGAAAGAAATTCTACACCTTTTTAGTACCAAAAAAGTGTTGATTGCAGGCCTGGATGAAACAATCTAAGGGGGCCCTGGGTAAACATGAGCCATGGAGCCAAACTGGTGGCCTCAAGAACTAAAAAGAAGGATTTTTAAAAATCTGCACAGACAACTTGAGGCACATTTGCAAAACAACTATACAATTATTATTATAAAAGTTACATCTTAAAAGTCCATATCACTACAGTTTGTTGTGCATTTGAGGTAGGCACAGTATCTGTGGCAGCGTCCTGTGTAAGTACCGCAAGTTAAATTATAATTCGCCTCCACTATATTGGAGTGGTGTTGTAAATTTTAACCTGAGCTAATAATCAGAAAGGCGCCTGCATAAATAGACACTACGCCACAAAAGATATGTTGCATGAACCAACTTTTGAACCTTGAAAGATACAGTGTACAGGACTTAGTGGCATCTACTGGTGAGGTTCCAGATTGCAACCAAGTGAATCCCCCTTTCCTCATCCCCCCCTTTCCAACCATGCTGGAAAACCCACTGTGGCCAGTAAAACACCCCTCTACAGTCAGTGATTGATTTGTCCCTTGTGTGTTACTGCAGAAACATGGCTGCAGAAGAGGACACGCTGCTTTGACAACGGAGTGCAACAATTCCTATGTTTAAGGGATTATGCGCTCATAAATTAAAATTTCTTCAAATAAAGCCCCCTAAACCCTACCCACTGGCCATTTACGTCTTTCCATCTTAAGATTGTAAAATGCTTTTAAGCAAAAAATCCATCTTTTGCTGAGAATTGTTAATTGAAAGAGCCTACATGCCCATCATTACACTGGTGACTACAGTCATCCTCAAATGTATTCATACCCTTACATTGAAGAAAAGGCAAAATTCACAACAGTCACTCAAATAAGAAGAAACTAAAAAAAGTAATAATAAATAAAAATTTGCTAAATTATAATTTAGTCAAATAAGACATTGCTTTTGAATTGTGGTTGAAAAGAATAATTAAAAAAAACAAAAAACTGTCCCCCGCAAATTCGAGCACTTTGCTGATGAGCAGTGGACCAAAATCCAAACACCTGTCAACAGGTGCAGAAGTCTGATTGAGAGTTACAGAAAACGCCTGATTGCGGTGATTGGCTCAAAGGGTTGTTCAACAAAATATTAGTTTACGGGTCCCATCATGCTTGTTTGCTTGTTTTTTTTTTGTTTGTTTTTTTTGGGGGGGGGAATATTTCTGTTGAACCACAATTCAAAAGCAATGTCATGATGTTCAGTAAATTTTTATTTATTATTACTTTTGTTAATTTCAATTTATTTCAGTGACAGCTGTTGTTTTCCTTCTTTAATGGGAGGGTATGAATACATTTGAGAATGACTGTATATGCATAATATAAGATAACAAATATGTGTTTTAATACTTAACAAGTCAGTGTGTCTTACCCGTTTGAGAAGGGATACTCCCACAGGTTTTTTGTCTTGTCAACCACACACCGAGGTCCTTGGTTGATGGCCACAGCCGAAACAATAACCGAGTAACCAGCACCGACAACACCAACGGCTGCAAACAGTATAGAACTGAGCATCTACAGAGAGATGGAGATACAGAGTGAGAGGGGGAGAAGAAAAGTGCCGTCACACGTATTGGGAATCAATACAGTTAGCTATATGACTTCAAACATCTTAACCAACGACAACAATGAAGTTCTTCTCTGGCTGTGCAGAGGCCAGGATCGGGGTCATGACCGTTCTGTGTGATCTGATACACTTTTGTTTGCCGATTGTCTCCTCACACTCACACACCTGCACATTCCTGAAGCATCGATCAGTGTGGGTCTCTGCAGCACAACGTTGCTCTGTTTTAGAAAGTTGTGTAAAACTCCCATCAGGGGAATGTCTCTTTTACAGTGAGCTCTCATTGTTCTCATTAGTTTTTGTGTATGTGTGTTTTTCGCATTTATTGCTGTGTAAATCTTGCCGGGTGTGGACACAGTGCCTCTGTGTTTGTTTTCCATTACACGCTCTGGGTGATTACACTCCACCGTTAACAGGTGACACACAGTAATAGATCAACTGGTAGAAGGGGTCATACGGAGCTACTGCTTAATCCTGCCTCCTTTATTCACTTATTTTTGTTAGGTCATAAATATGGGCTCCTCATTTGGGGTTTTTGAACAAATTTCACCTAGCAAAGCAATAAAATGAATGAATGAAAAGGGATTTTCTGCAGAATGAAACTTCACTAAACAAGGTAATCCTGGGGCAATGACTCAATATAAAGATTAAAGTGTGGAGCAGTGCAAAGAAGCTACTGCAGAATGTTGTGTTGAGTTTTTTTGTACCGCAAACGATATTTCATAACCCGATTTCCACCCAGAATTGACTTTTTACAACTAGATTTTCATGTTTTTATTCAAATTAAAAGGACTTCATTTCAAGTGTTACCATTCACATGATGTTTTAGGTGCCACTTATCCAATACTGCCCTGACACAACGATTGTCTTTTCACTCCAGTTAAATGTGGAAATTGGGGATACAAAAAAACATATTCTGTCTCTACTGTCACGGCTTAACGTCTAGGGACAGTATATGATTAAAAACTATAATTTAAGCAGAGATGTTGCTTACAGGAGAAGAAAACAACTAATATAAGTCATGCAGTAGCTTCAACAGTTAGGAGTGGACATACGCTGGTTCTTTTTGTTCATTTGTGGAGATTATTCTCACTCTCTGCTTCATTACTTAGTAGTTTTTACTGTCGGTAGTTAATAGGAACAAACTCAATGAGGTTATTAATATGTTTAGCCTGACTTATGGTAAAAAAAAACAATTCAGATGGCGCTGCTCATTGACTCCTGAGCAGTGACAAAATGGCTGGCAGTCCCCAGTGATGCACACACACTCTTTATAGTGAATACGAGTTGTTTCCATCTGGACAGAAGTACATGAAGTGTGTGTGAATTGCATTTTGTTGAATTCAATGTTTTGATTGTTGCTGATATTGTTATGGAGCACTTTGTTGTTTCATTTCTGTCTTTTCTGCTGAATTTATCCGACAGTTGCCACAGAAACAAAGAAAATGCTAATAACTAAAACAAACTGATAGACTAACTAATCAGCTAAGTTAACTTGTCACTCGATATTTGCGATATTCATTTGTTGAATAGTTAGACAGAAACATCTCCTCACTGCAAATCTCCGTCCGCAGCTTTCGTTGCCACAGCAACCACAGCAGTCATTGTTCTTCAGACCCAGGAAGACCAGAGCTGGGAAGATCATCTGCCACACGAACACACCCCACGTTCACACACAGACACATGCACAAAGAGTTGAACAGATAATGTATTATTTGTTCCTTTACTGTGTGCAGGAGGAAATTGAACTGCCTCATGTTCCACCACAGTCATTAAGATGTAGAGGCTCATAGCAAGTTTAACAACTGCAACAGATTTCACCAAGGCAGTTAAATGTTGTTGCAAATATGCCATCATGATAATTTGAAATAAGAACATACAAGCTCTACACATAGTGGTTTTAAGGTACTTTATAGATTTAGTAAAGACATTACTATGATACATTTTGCTATGTTTAATTACCAGTGCCCTAAAAAATACATTTTATTATGTATTTCAATCTCTCCATTTGTCTGCATTTTTCTTTTCAGGCAGTTGCGCCAAAAGAGTAATAAAGTACTGTAGCTTTTCTAAAAATGTAAAAAATAAATAAATAAATAAACTAATAAATCAATCAATTCTAAATTCTTAAATCTGAGGTTTTGCCCTTTTTAAAGAAAATGTATTTGTCAAAGTTAAGTGCAAAGATTCAGATATTGGACTTGTTAAGGCAAAACAAGCAGTTTAAAGACATCACTGTTGGCTATTACGATGGATCTTTTTTTTTTTTCCAACTTACATTTCATTCTTCATTCTTACATTTTAGAACAAATGAAGAGTTCATTTGCAGATACGTCCATTTTTGTAGATTTTCTGAAAATGTATTTTTTTTGTCGATTGCTTGAGATAATATCAATTACACTGAAGTTGAGTGGATTTGACTCAGTAGAAGTGACATGACAAAAATAGAGATAACTTCCGTTTGATTGATATTGTCTCAGGTAGATGATAGAAAAGTGGGTTTTCTGAAAGTTTGTGAAGATGGAGTTATCTGCTTTTGCAAATGGCCTCTTCAAAAAATTACATATAATGCACTAATATGCATATAAATCTATACCTTAAGACACCATCGTGATTCTGTTATGTGCAACAGAAGTATTTTTTTTGTCATTTATACTTGTAATTTAAAAACACAAGTTTACGGCGCACTAATGGACTCACCAGCACTCCCGATCCTAAAATGCCTCCAAAGTACCAGACCTGCTGTGTGATGTGTTCGCTCTCCACAGACTTTCCTCCGGGGAAGAAGAGCAGGATGTTGCACAGAACACATATAATGGACAGAGGCATCAGACTGATTCCCAGACATTTGGCAAAGCCTCCCGAGCACATTCTGACACTGATGCTTCAACCACCACTGACCGTAACAGCTCCTGAGGTTGGAAAACACTCCACCTAATCTGTCCTTTCAGTCGAATTTTTCTGATCTTACAAAATTTAGACTTCGATCAAGTCCGTTCGTTGTCCACTTCAAGCCAGTCAGGTGATACAGTTTGAGATGCCAGTGAAGAGTAATGCTCTCTTTGTTTGTTTAGACCTATTATATCTCCAGATGCACCTTCCCAACGCCTCCTAACAGTTTCTCCGTAAACCTCTTTAGCTTTGTTGTTTCTGAATTTAGTGAATGATCCTGTCAGCATCACCTGCCCAGTTTCTGAGGATGGTTGATGCTTCATTTGAGCTTTTATAGCCCCCCCCACCCCCCCAACCCCCAACCCCCACCTCACTGTGTGATCTCATTGCTTCACTTTTACACCAACCGCCTGTAATATAGCAGCATCTCACACAAGCAACGTGCAAACACACATGCACATGCTCGTGACTGCATGCAAACACACAGATAGCCATTAATGTAGGATCACATACCTGTGTGTGCACACAGACACACCAGTGAAGACACTGTGGTCTCAGTGGTTAATGTTCCACCTTGTGTTTTGTGTACATGGAGACAGAAGAGGAAGTGACAGACAGTTGGTCGATACAGCAGGGCCCTCTTAGCTGATGGGCACCTAGTGAGTAACAAAGAAAACCTCTTCATCGTCAGGATGTCTAATCCACAGTTTGGCTCTGGACGCGCCCTTTTCCTTATAAATTATGCTTCATGGTGTGTTTAAATTTGACAGATGTGAGCAATCTGGGAGTGGAAGATGATTTTGAGCAATGGTTTCCATTAATCACTGTAGAAGTGTCAGAAATGCTCAGTAGAAGGATGAAGAGCAGATCGTTGGACCATAAACCCGTCCAGTCATCAGTTAAATGTATCTGATAAGACTTGTCAAGTGGATATAAAGTTACTTTATTGTCTTTTGTTAATTAATTCTGCTTGAAAATTAAAGAATCCATAACAAATATATACATCTCTTTGTAGAGTTACAATTTCACTTTGTCTTTATGGGGTAAGAAGACAAGCATACACACTCAAATTAACATTCATCAAAGTGGACTCTTAAGCAAAACTGATTTGGATTGGACTCTGGGCTTTTGTAGCATTATTAAAGATGATTATTTTAATATATATATAGATTTCTATAGATAATAAATTTCTATGATTTAATGTATTTGGTTATAAACAGTGCAGAAACATTATTGTTAACAATAAGGCCCCAGTATCACAAAGAAGTCTCCCCTTCCCTCTCACAGACTGTTTGACATTTATTTGTCTAACAAGAGATATGCTAGTATTGAAGATGCTCACCAGTCAATGATTAAAACCCTAAAAGCCCATCTCTGTGTATTAAAGTCCTGGCCTTTCTCTCCACCTCCCCTTCGCTCTGTGCTGCGTACCAGCTGATCTACGACTCTATTAAAAACTGTTTTCTGCTACACAATGATGCATTGCAATGTTGAAATAATTCAGTCATATAGCAAGAGCCTGACTCTGAAGAAAATAAATGACACAAAAGCCCCAACCTGCAAGTTAATAGGATAGGTTGCTTAGATTTGTTTGAATCTGTGGTACACTATTTGTGGTACACTGCAGTTTTCAGGTGGAAATGCTCAGCTGTGGCCTTAGCTGCTTATATTGTGCATGATAAGCCTTCTACAACATAGAAAACACGATCTTCACTGAAAAAAGCTTTAAAATTTCACGAGGAGAATGAACAACAACTCCCTCAGCCTTTGAGACTCTGAAAAGCCTCAACAGCCATCATTTTATATGCTACATATGTCAGTCTTTTGTCACAGATTTTTGTCATGGATAAAACCACCACTTGAATTGAACTTGAATTCCAAACAGAAGGTTTGCGAATGTGATTACTAAGGTAATTCAACATTTCTACAATTCAATTTAAACCTTTAATTCATCTAGAAATGTTAGAGTTCGGTTTTATTATAATATAAGAATTTAATCCAAATGAAACAGTGCACCTGGTTATTATTATTGTTATGATAATAATAATAATAATTATTATTATTATTTTAAATGTTATTTTATACCATTAGAGCTTCATTAATCCAATCTACACTTTTGAAAGTAACCTTTTCCCACAGACAATAGTTCTTAGATCGTCAGTGGTACACCAGTTTGTGCCAAGAATGACTGAAAAAAAAGAAAAGAATAAGACAATCAAGATATTTCACATGACAATTACATCACCCTGTCATTATCGCTCTTGAATCTGGTTTAAAGGTAGCATAGCAATGCAAATTAGTCAATGTTAAGATGACAGAAGCTGCAGGTTTGGCATTATTTCAGTTTGCAATCAGTCCACTGAAAATGCAGCCTAAAAGCAATGGGATTTAGACCACAAGTCCTTAATGTAGCTAGAAAAAGGAAACATTACCATGTATAATTTTACATCTTTATCTGCTAATGATGACCAGGAAAAGACCTAAAATAAACCTTGTGATGAAGTAGATTTTCCACTGCAGATTAAGCACATAATTTAATATTTAAAAAAACAAAACTGTGTCACATTGTTCTATTGATAAAAAAGTCTTTTTAACTGCATGTAGGGAGTTCCCCTTTGAAAATAAAACTTTTCTGCTGCTGAAACCTCAGTATGATCGATTTGATCTGCGATCTGCTTCTTTTTCCTGCCATTCTGGCTGAGGCTAACTCAATGCATGACAGAGTAATCGATTAGACGGTGAAAGTCCAGCACAGTTTCTTTTTTTCTCCCGTTTTTTGCCCGCATTAGCTGTCGGTAGAGGCGGGATGGGCTCCGACTTGACTTTCTCCTCTCGTCGGTCTCCTGTGGTGTGTTTACATGGCTGTGCGGCTTCTAGCCAGCCATTAGCTTCGAGGATAGGAGTCGGTGAGTGGACAACAGTTGCCATGGAGATCTTAACAGAGGAGCAGCAAAGTGACAATACTCTGTACTGCTACCAGTACTGCTACTACTAGTAGTACTACTACTACCACCACAACTAGTACTGCTACTACCACCACTACTAGGACTACCACCACTACTAGTAGTGCTACAACTAGTGCTACTACTACAAAAGTCTACTCAGAAAGTTTCCCTTTAAAGTGAAGAACATTATTTTTCATAATAGCAGCTTAAAGCTCATAACAACGGAGACTGACTAGCTTAAAGCATTTGAAGCTAGAAACATACTAGCTAGCATACTGACATAACTAAAATGAGATAGAACCTCTTACTGCACGTGTTACATAGAATTTTGAGGGCAAAATAATGTTCTTGTCAATAATAATAATAATAATAATACTGAAGAGCCCATGGCAGCATATTCGCATTGCTTATTTTACCCATTGAACAGTTTAAAACTAACAGAAAGTCAATTTATTATCACATAACAGACAGAAAATCAGCAAAACTCCTTTGGAATTCTTGCTTGAACAACTACTTTATATGTGGGTTGTTTAAACAGAATAATTTTGTGTATGGTCTAATCATTTCAGTTAGCCTAAGCTGCCCATCATGTACAATCAGTGCTTGCTGCTGTTTGTGAAGTAAGATAATACTGTTGACAGACTGCACTGAACCAGCAGGCAATACATTTGGGAATTTTATTTATTAAAATGTATATTCACATTTAGGTCAGTGTATCTTTCCCCTAAAGTTCTGATGTCATCTGTGCAGTATTTCTTTTGTGTAATTTGTCTCAGTGGCTCTCATATTTGGTGTAAAAACAAAAATAAATGGAATTTTGTTTGTGGAACCTGCAAACTACAAATGGGATATTGGAGAGGGCAAATGTCAGAGATTCTTAAATAACTCTTGAAATAAAATCAGAAATATTTACATTAATAAATACTAGTAAACTGAAGTAAAGACAAAAAAGAGGGCCTGGCAGTGGAAGTTCGAAGAACATAAACATTTTTGCACACCGACATCAATTAGATATTCTATTTTATATAGTTAATTAGCAATATGAGCACAGGGGGAAAATGTACAGAAATTTCAGCAGTGTCTTCTTCAGTGTACAATAACAGACATCAAGCTTCATTGTCAGGTCCTTTTAATTTTCCACCAACAATTGATGTCAGTCACCTTAAAGGCTTGCCAAGTGGCTACCTGTAGTCAGACGAATCTTTAGATTTGTCTCAATGAAAACCTCACAAAGCCACTTTCCAACATTGAATTACTAGTTTAACCAGCAAAAACAAAATTCTATATACATATATGTGAAAAATTACATGCAACTTATACAAGCAAACAATTGTTAATGCAGGTAACTCAAAAAGGTCATTTCCAACTACTGTGGACAGCAAAGACACTGCACATGGTCTAATACATCTGTGTAACATCTGTAGCACACGAATATGAAAATATCAGTCTATGTTATGTCATGGTGATATACAGCAAAGCTCTTTTTAAGATTGTATTATCATATAGTACTTGGGCAAGTGAGATAATATGTTTTCTCTGTAATTTGGGTGATGAGAAGCTGTGGCTCATGTGGAGGAGATAAGCATGTTTGTTAACTGAATGGATTAAAATATGCTGTGAACAAAGGTACCTAAATGTGTACCCCACTTGATCTACAACACACCTTGGCTACATCCTTTTTAGGGTAGGAATGCTATTGGAATGTAATAAATCATTTAAAGAGGTCAGTCATGGGCATGTGTTTGTGTCCAGATGTCCTGAAGCGTGGTGGCAATGCGGCAGATGCTGCAGTTGCCATAGCAGCAGCTCTGGCGGTGACAGAACCGAGCAGCACGGGCCCTGGTGGAGACGCCTTCTGCTTGTTCTACAACGGAAACACTGGAGAGATCAGAGGAATTAATGGAAGGTGGAGACTCTTTTGTTGCTTTTGTTCTTGTCCCTCTCATACAGAGTAATTAGCAGAGCCTCTCTTTGTGTCTTCAGCGGACGTTCAGCCCGAGCTCAGACGCTTGACTTCCTGGAAGGACGCGGTTACACTGCAGAGGCCCCTCCTTCAGCATTTGATGCTTTGAATGTCACCGTACCAGGGGCCCCTGCATGCTGGTGTGATACTGTAGAGCTGTTTGGAAGTCACAAGGTTTGCCTGTGTGTATTTGTGTTGTCCCTCTGTGTAGATCTGCATGTGTTGACGTGTGTGTTTTATGCAACATTCCGGTAGCAAAAGGCCATCTAACATAAACACAGAGGCACAGTAACCATGTTAACATGAACCTCCAACACACACAAACATACCTGGAAGCAGGGCTCTTGACTCTGAGTCGAAGAGACATAAACAAGGAGTTGGCAAACTGTTGGGCTCTGAGGACATTTCCTTTATTTGGTCAAAGCTGCAGTAACTTGGCCCTCTAAGACTGAGTTTCTGCATGTCCTTGAAGATGGGGGCAAAGTTTTAGAAAGGCAGTCTCAAGCTGCCTTTTGCCCTGGGGGCATTACCCTAGGCTCTTCTTCTCTTCTAAGAAAGCAGGAAGACAGAACCCTTGACCTTTGGCCACACTACAGTAATCATTTCTCAGGCTGAACAACTTATTGAGTGCCAGTGTGATGTTGGTCACAGTCAAATGCAACCTGTTAAGCCCAGCTATTTGTATGGTCCAATTAAAGAGTAAAATATATTTGTTACCAAATTAAACATTCTTTTCAAATAAAACACTGGTTAAAAAAAATAAAAAATAAAAAATGTAAATAAGGAAAAAAAGTAAAAATGTCATTAATAAATTTAAACAATGAATTCTGAACATGCACAGCCTTATGAAACGTTGTCTTTGAGTAAATGTAGTGCGAGTTCCTGCACATTGAGCTCCTTTAAAGAACATTACAGTGTTATAGTCTGTAAGACTTCCTCCAGTGAAAATCAAGTTTTTAAAAAAAATTTTGCTAACATGTCTGTATGGTGTTTTTTATATGCTGGAAGGAACATCATGAATGAAATAAGCTGTCAGCGCCATGGCTGAGCCTTCTATATCAAAGCTGCACTGCAATGATGACCATTTCATAAACACAGATTTAGACTTCAGGGTTTCTTACGTAACAAACCGAGGGAACCAATCCTGTCAATTTGCAGGGTGAGACTTTCCGTATTCTTCTTCTTGCGAATTAGTCTCCAGTTCCAGCATGTATGGCTGAAGTAGCCTAGAGTAGCTTTAAAATGTTCGAGCACATTCGTAGCTGATTTGATCAAGCTGTGAGTGGCGAAGGCAGAGGTGTTGTAGATCTGCACTTTCTCAAGAAAGCAGCAGTGTACAGTTACACCTAATCCATGAAGCAGGAAGAGGTCATTTTCATTAAAAAATGTATAGATATGCAACTTGGCTACACAAAGATGAGCTTTTTAGGTTTTTAATCAAGAGGAGAGAGACTGTAAAATGTACTGTGTCTTCATAATACATGTCCAGTCAAGCTTTTACTGAGAGAATTAAAATGTCAAAAATATTGAATTTCATTTAACGTGCCCTTTTTTCTATACTTCCCTTCCACAGTTACACTACATTCTTTACTAAAATAGTTACAAATATAATTAAACGCTGGTGCCATAAACAAACTAAAAAATAAACAGAAATTAAACAAATTTTAACCTGTAAAAACATAAAACTAAAAATTCACTCTAAAAACTTACGTTTTGATAATGTTTCTCTTCTTACAAATGCAGATCAGAAATGTTGTTTTAAATTAGAGGTACAACTCACTTTTGATGAATTTAAAATGTACTAGCTGCTCTATTATGATAACAGCTGTGACATATAAATAAAGGACAGAGATGAACGTACCACATTCATTACTTTTGTTTGTGATGTCAAACTTTATTTCATAAAATATAACTTGTAAATATTAAGGATTAATTAAGGAAATTAAATAATTCCACCCAAGGTAACTCTTAAAGTGTCTTCTCACTCTTGCTGATTGCTAACAAATAATTGAATGGACTTTTTTCTCCCTGGAAAACCCTCCTAGGAAATTGCAAATCAGTTGTAGTCTCCGCAATTTCTTCTCAAAACAATGACTCACCCTTCCTGCTCAGTGAGGTTTCCTGTAATAAGCATGTGTTTCCTCTGCCTGTTTCCCTAGCTGTCCTTGCTGGAGGTCCTGAGTGGGGCGGTGGAGTTAGCAGAGGAGGGGTTTCCTGTTGCCGAGATAGCAGCTCACCAATGGGCGACCTGGGTGGCTGCTCTGAGAGAAGCTGGGAAGGAACTAGGTGGAGACTTGCTGATTGACGGTCATGCTCCCAAATGTGGACAAGTGTTCAAAAACCCTGGCCTGGCTCGGACCATGAAGGTAAATCCTTGAAACTAAGATGCAAAGAAACAACAAACACATGTTCACAGGTCGTGTGAGGAGCACTGGGACGTTATTTTCTGGACTCCTGTTATTCAGACAAGAAGGAAACAGAACAATGTAGAACCTCAGAGAAATTACTGTGTTCTGTCCCTGGTGTTATTTGCTTTTTTTTTTTATTCTTTTAAACTTGACCTAGCCTTCTATATGAGGAGACCTTGGATGAACCCAGGGGCAAACTGGGCAATTACCCTGAATCCATTAGGGTGTTGGACTTTATATTGAAGGAAAACAAAGAAAATAGAGGATGCAAGAAACACAGATTGTGCAAAAATACTGTGGGATTGGTGGAGGGACAGGAGTGAAAGCAGAACAAAAAAGGATGAGAGACGGGGACAGAGAAAGATGCATAATAAGATAGTGGGTGGGGAGAAGTAAAAAGGTAGAGATAAAGGTTTGTTTAAAAAAAATCATGTGGGGAATGAACTGAACTTAATTGCATCTTAAGATGATCTGTTTATTTCTCAGTTCAGTTAAGCTCTTCATCAGCTTTAAGCAAATGTGCAGTGATGCACTCAATGAGTGAGTGATGTAAGTCCCTGATTCAGTCATTCACTGAACGTTCTACACATTGAACACAAGCCCAGAGTGATTGTCAGGAGCTCAAACTGCCAAATGAGGCCCAGCAAGTTCAAAAGTAATGCTCAACTTTAGACGAGTTAAAAAGACATTAAAGTAATTAAAAATAGCTTTCATCTCAGTTTTAGGAAACTTTGAAAAGGATTGTCAACAGAGTTTGTTGTGTTTGTCAAAGCAACATCACGGTTCTGGAAGGCGGGTTCAATGAGGAATATAAACGGTTTGGTTGTATTTCAGCTAGAGGAGTGGGACTTTTCAGGTGGAGTTCCAGTAAAGCATCACAGTACTTTTCTGTGCTGCTCTTTTATTATCAGCAACTCGTATATAAAGCTGGACTGACTGTTAGTGTGTCAAGAGTCATGAATGAAATAAAATGAATGAAATGAATGAAAAATACTTTATTCATCCCAGAAGGGAAATTCAATTATCACAGCATATGTCATATCATAAAATGGGTAGGTGACAGGGTCAGCAGCAGCTGACATGCTTAAGAATATCCTCTGAATTATAACTTCAACGTTCTGATGTGACATGATAACTCTTCACTAAAACTGGCTTGAATGATATGGCACATTTTTTCCAAATCCTCAACTTTCCTGTTCCGTCAGTGACCTTGATTGTCCGTGTATTTCTATGCAGATCATGTAGTATTTATAAAGCTGCACTCATTCGGTATTTTCCCGTCAGTGAGAATTCAATAGAGCTTCAGCTGACATCATTGTGTGTGTGTGTGTGTGTGTGTGTGTGCGAGTGTGTGTTTGCCTACTTGTGTGTCACCATGAAAGTATGCTCTGATGGATGCTCTGCTGTATTCCAACATCAAACACTCAGTCATTTGCAATGCAATAATGCAGGAAAGCAGCCAAGTACGCCCATGACAGCTCGCCACACACACACACTTGCACAGATACATACGCTCACGTTCCTGAGACTGTAGAAACAATAGCGGTGACCTCAGCCTCATTGATAGGTGGTCTCCATGGCATCATAACGGCCATTCCTCAACGATGACGGTGTGTCACTTCCTTGTGGAGCAAAATCACATTTATGCACACACCCTCTAATTCATTCGATAGCATTGACTGGACTGGTAGATACACACAGCAGTGGTCAGCCCTTTCAAACACTAAACTCCTGAGGCATTACATCATGCTAACAATCATATTTCAAAAGTTTTTTTTGTTTGTGGTATGGCTTTAAAGCTTGTAAATGGACTAACAAAATCCAAAGAGATAAACTCTGCAATAAGTTGACTTGATTAACAGTGGAGTGACTGATTCTAATTATTCAGGGCTTTGAAAATAAGTACTTTCACTAACTTTCAAGCTCTGCCTGGACTGTGACATGTACTGATGTATCAACAGGAGCTCGGTGAGGGTGGAAAACCAGCTTTCTACCAGGGCAGAGTGGCCCAAGCCATCATTGACGTCATTAACCAAAATGGGGGAGTCATGACCTTGGATGACCTCAGCAGTCACAACAGCGAGGTCATCACCCCCATAAGCACAGAGTACAAGGTCAGAAACCAGGAATGCTTATTATATCAGTATTGTCATACATAGGTCAGCAGAGTGAATGCCTTTGTCGTGTGTTCAGGGCGTGCGTCTGTGGGAGCTTCCTCCGAACAGTCAGGGGCTCACTGCCCTGCTGCTGCTCAACATCCTGGAGAACTTTCCTCAACTTAAAGGTAACTACAGGGACACAGAGACACAGAAGAAGAGATGCATTACTGTTTCATGCTGAAGAATCTTAAATGCACAGCAAATATTGATTAGTAGAAACCGGAATAGCCAAAGTTCATTTAAAAGAAATAACAGTGGTAGTTTACCCAAATTCCCACAAAACGTATTTTAGAACAGAACAAAGGGCTCCAGTGTGATGTAAGGCAATTTAGCTTTATGAAATGTCTACCACCCCTTTTAGACTTTATTCAAAAGATGGATTTAAGGATAAAAGGCCTTTATTTGTCACTAACACAATTACACATAGTATAATGTGCAGAGAATTGTATGATGCACCTGCTCCAGACGGAAACAATATGAATAATAATAATAAGAAGAAGAACAAAGAATAGAGCACACAAGAAATAAATATGTATATAGATAGATAGATAGATAGACAGACAGACAGACAGACAGACAGATAGATAGATAGATAGATAGATAGACAGACAGACAGACAGACAGACAGATAGATAGATAGATAGATAGATAAAAACAAGCAAAATAAAGTGTCAAATAGTGTAAATTAGTGCAAAAACTAAAATTAAATGAAACAAAGTAGAAATAGACAAGACAGGTTCAGCAGGTGGACATTGTTTCCAGGCCTTAAAAGTGAAGCCAACACAGGAAGTGCCTTACATATGCATTTTTTTCACTAATAGTCAGCAGGGAGTGACTCTTCTTCTGGTTGCAAAAAGATATCAGGTTGTATAGAAGTCTCTAAGAAAATGATTCTACTTCTCACTTGATCTTTTACCTTCATTTGTATTTATATGACTCAAAGTCTCAAGTTTCAGACTTCCTTCAATACAGATGTTGATTTTGTACATTATGATCCCATTTAGAGTAAAATAGATGATAAAGTCGAGCGTGTTTTAGGGCGAGGCTCCGTTGTAATTAATAGATTGCTACCGTGTCATTGTGCGTAGTTTCCTCAAGCTCACAGTCTTATCCATCCCTCACTCATTGCATCTAGTGATTTAGAACGGTGGTCTATAAACTAACAAGTGACATGATTGTTGTACGTCCATCTTTTATATACAGTTATGTCCCCACCCTACTACACTGGAGGTGAATGGACCTTTGTGCTGCTCAAAACAAACCAAAAAAAACCCCCAAAAAACTAAACAGCAGTGCGCCAGCAGTAGTAGAAGAGAAACTATTTCTGGAGGTGAAAGTGACAGTTGACATTTCTTATACTTTTTAATGTTTTGAGCCCAACAAAACCATCAACCTTGCTGTGACCTAACCTCCCTGGTTAGATGCTGCTAAGCATAACTGGACGTTTGAAGTTGTGAAGTGCATTTGTTTCATTACCTGTTACACAATATTGATTAGTAGATTAGTTATTCAGTTGTTACTATAGTGACAAACACAGTTGACTTTTGCATAATCGACCCATTCAAAGTAGCTCATTTGCTCAAAGAAAAAATGAGATAGCCCCGAATCTTTGACTCAGTTCATTGTGTGTCATCTGACTGACTCCAGACTGTCCGGGCATACTGGCTAAAATCAGGTGACTAATTCATGTAGTCCTCACTGGCTCTTAACCACCTCTGACCAGGAAGACATCTAGAGCATTAGGCTTAAAACTCCCTTGGTAAAGAAAGATGTTCTCTCCACAGTTACCTGTGAGGGCTGCATCTACCTCATAACATACGACATCACTGACACATAAACCACAGTAACTCATCGCTTAAATCAATAGAGATGCCCTCACGACACCACAATAGAGATGCTACATAACCCTTTATAGGGCACTCCTTGAAAAACTTGGAAAAGGAAAATTTTAACCCTAGAGTGTTACTGATATTTCAAGATATTTAGATTTTTGTGACTTTAAAAAACAAAAAAATGTTGCCAATCAAGATCAATCAAGTTCCCATATATGGTAACTTGATTGATTTAAAAAAAAAAAAAAAGGAATTTATAATAAATGAAAGAAAAAGTAGCAAACTGCAAAAACCATTTATTTAGAAACATTTTAGTTTGAGGTAATGATACTTATACAACCAGTAACAAAGTATTTATAAAGTGCTTGGTAAGTTCATTCAGTAACATTTCTTTTGGGGTAGTGGTATTAGTGGCACTAATCACAAAAAATAAATCAAAGTGAAGTTGAATGCAAACCAGTAACAAAGTGTTTATAAAGTGCCTGGAACATTTGTTGAGTGACATTTTTCAAAAGGTAGTGATATTGGCACCAATATAAAAACGATATCAAAGTTCACATGGTTCTTCAACGTCAAGGAGAGACACAGTGTGGACATGTTGAACGTCCAAGGAAGTTACCATATATGGTCACTTGCCCCATAAAGAGGTTAAAAGTTAATAAACCTTTGCTTTTGCTGTTGTACACTTGGTTTTTGATAGGTCTTTGAAGAGAATAGTTTATTGTCTTACGCAAAGTGATGTGATGTGCATAAAGAATACTTCAGGGTTGTCATCTTGAGCAGACACAAAACAAAACAAATAAGAGATCTTGAAGTAACTGTTTTCTGGAAAGTGCAGTAAAACAAAAACAGTAATTACAGCTGTGGAGCTTTCACTGAACATATCGCTAATTCTTGTAGTTTAGAAGAAGTAAGTCTCACCATCAAATATCTAGAGTCAGATGCTTATGTCAGACCAAGAAAATCAGGATAAACTGTCAGATAAAATAAATATGACATTACACCAGGTTAGTTCCACAAAATGTTCATCTGTCTTTATGTTACACATTTCTTGTAAATCAGATGTAGATTTTTCATTTGCAAATGTGTTTTTCTCTTTTTCTTTATTATGTATGTTATATGTATGTACTGTATAGACATGTGTATACACAAGTCTGAAATAGTTTTTGTTTCTTCTTCTACTTGTTTTATGGTGGGAGAAAAATAAATGGCTAAAAAAAAGTAACATTTTTGTGGAATATTTGTGCCACTAATGTGTTTCTCTGTGTTTGTGTAGCTGCAGGTCATAACAGTTCTGACTATATCCATATTCTGGTGGAGGCTGTGCGTTTGGCACTGTCAGATGCTCTGCGTTACCTTGGTGATCCACATCATGTGACCATCCCTGTGGACACCTTACTGGACAAGAGCTACAGCCACCAGCGAGCTCAGTGCATCAACATGGACAGGTGTGTGTTTCTCTGTGCGTGTTTCTGTTCGTACCAGTGTGTACCAGTCGTTCTCTGTTGACTTAAGATAGGACTGTAGACTTTTACTTCCTCTGCCCTTAACGCCCATCCCTTCATGCCTCATATACACAGGCGTGTGGTAGTGTGGGCGTATAGTTTGGGAACAATGTGTATTGACTGGTTAGTAATGTAGACTATAAACTTTAGGCCTTTATGAGCTATGAGACAAATAGGCAAACAGACTATAAAAATATAAAACAACATAATAAAGTTTTAACATGTGTTCTTACACTCATACACATAAAAACACATATTATCCATATTCAGACCTGTTGTTTGGCTGCTGTTTTAAATCCTATAGTAGTACATTCTAGACAGCTAATCTAGCTGAGCTAAACAGCATGTCGCTTTGGGCGTCATACCCAAATGCATACATTAATTCCACTGCCTTCATTTATTCATTGTTGCCAAACTCAAACTTATTGATTTGGCTAAACCTCAGCAAGCTGTGAACTTCATCCTAACATCATTTGTCCTCTGTGTTTACATGCCAAAAATATTCCTAAAAATCAGGTGAAATGAGGAAATTGCAGATTATAGTTACTGCACTGCAAAATGAAAATCTACCAGGAAAATTGTTTTTAGATCGGAAAAGCCTTCAGCCTTATATTTCTGGCAGTATTTATTGTAATAGATTGAAAGTTTATTATAAGAAGATTTGATACTTTGATTTGATCAGCACAAGTTTTCTTCTCAGTCCAGTTAGGCCTTTCCTTGGTCTGAATTTCCAGACATTTCTGACAACCACACAAAAATCATAACCAACAATTACAGCTTGTAGGATTAAAGCCTGTCACATGACCATATACCGGCATTAATGGTCTGTGTTTTGGATTGTTTGTGTGTGAATCTGTAGGGCCATGGAGCGAGTGGAGCCTGGCCTGATGACTGGAAGTGACACAGTGTACTTCTGTGTGGTTGACAGTCAGGGGAACGCCTGTTCATTTGTCAACAGCACCTATATGGGCTTTGGGAGTGGTCTGGTCCCGAAGGACTGTGGATTCTCACTACAGGTCTGAAGGGTCAAAAAGGGTGTAGGTGGCTCGGTCATTAGCACCGTCGCGTCAATGTCGTCAATGATGGATAGATAGATGGATGGATGGAAGTCATAGAAAATATCAAAAAACAAACATTGTTTTTAAAGTATCTCCATCCATCCATTATCTATACACCGCTTAATCCTCACTAGGGTCGTGGGGGGGCTGGAGTCTATCCCAGCTGACTCAGGGTGAAGGCAGGTTCACCTGGACAGGTCACCAGTCTATCACAGGGCTACACTTAGAGACAGACAACCAAGCACACTCACATTCACACCTACGGACAATTTAGAATCCCCGGTTAACCTCAACATGTTTTTGGACTGTGTGGGAGGAAGCCGGAGAACCCGGAGAGAACCCACGCTGCACGAGGAGAAGATGCAAACTCCACACAGAACGATCCCGGTGCCCCCACCGGGATGCAAACCGGCGACCTTCTTGCTGTGAGGCAACAGTGCTAAACAGCTGCGCCACCTTGCAGTCCTTTGAAAGTATATTTCAAACAAAATTTGGTCAAGTAAGCAGACATACATGAAAATCTAAAAAAATAAAAGCCTCACATTTGCACTTTTAACCACTTTTCTTAGCTTTTTTCTGCATAATATGCTGTACTGATAAACCTTTATTTGCTGCTACTCGTCCAGTGACACAGCATCATAAGTGGGGGAACATAATTGAGTGCGATCTATTTTATGTGAGGCTCAGAACATATAAAACCAATCATGAATTTGAAAACCTGTAGATTTTCATACTTTATTATCCTGTTTTTGCATGGTAAGGTACCTTGCAAAAGCAGAAATAAAAACATTTGCTTATGTTTGCGTTATGTCAGTGTTGCTATGAAGACATATAGTTGTGTTTACATGGAAATATGTTCTTATCTTCATAGAACTAAAAGCATTGGACTGAATGGTGAGGTATCTTTATGATGTGACAATGAAGACTCTTTTTGCCTCTCACAGAATCGTGGTGCAAGCTTTTCTCTTCGTCATGACGATGTCAACTGTGTTGCTGGTGGGAAGCGGCCATATCACACCATAATACCTGCGCTTCTCACTGACTCTGCAGCCACATCACAAAAACCACAACTCCTTGCTGCACTCGGGGTGATGGGGGCTTTCATGCAACCGCAAGGACATGTCCAGGTATGCAGTCATCAAGGCTGACAGACAGGTGGAGTGTGAGGTATAGAAAATTAACCTTCATATAATATGCTCTTATTTTTTACAATTTGCTTAATCTATTGTCCCTCCGCTTTTGTTTTTAAATATTCACTGATTTGTCTGTTCTATTTTTTCATTACACATAAATATCAAAACTGACATGGACACACTGTGATGAATGTAGTGCATCCTTACGAGTGTATTTATTTTAACAAGCTGATAATAAATGTTGCTCTTGTGTTCAGGTTTTGTTGAACATGATGGAGTTTGGGATGAATCCTCAACAAGCTCTGGATGCACCGAGAGTCTATGTGCAGTATGACAACAAAAGTATGTCTCATTTTCCCAACATGTCCACAAGAATTCAAACAAATTTTAGCATAATTTAAATGTTCAGCCTCCTCTACAATGCCAAGTCTTGATTAATTATTTTTAAAAAATGTATGTCTGATGACATGAGATGAGTCATTCTAACATTCATTTTACTTAATTATAATATATTGTACACAGTAGATAGAAATAAAGTCATTTAACCATTCAATAAATTTGAAAATTAAATAATAAAAGTCACGACTTTTGTTATTGTTTGGTATTTTTACTGGGGAAAAAAATACCAGCTTGGTTCACAAAGTGTGTTGCCATAAAAGTGATTTTCATTCATTCACAGTAGCTTTATCTCGGCATGAGTTCAGCCATCTGGCTGTATGCTTTTATTCCCACAGATTAACTGGAATAATGTGCAGCAGCTTGGTAGTTAATATTTACAGTTGAAGCATTAGTAAACATATTTCTTAGCTTTCTTGGCCATAAAATATGTATCTAGGTGTGAGTTATGACATTTTGTATAAAAACACAGCTGATGTCCCCATCCTAAATAATCATGTCTTTCTAGCTCATCGGTGGTTGGTTAATTTGGAGGAGGGAGTCGACCACGAAGTAGCCGAAGACCTCAGAAGACGGGGTCACGTAGTCAACTGGCCAATTACAGGTAGTTCTTGTGTGCACAGTTGACTTTTTCCAATGGCTGAATAGTATTTGTTCACATGTGAAGTATTATGGTTCTAAAAAATGAATGATTGTTGTATTCATTGATAAAACACTAACAAAAAACTTTCAAGAAGTGACCCATGCACCGAAGTCAAGGTCACATATTACATTTGTTTCTGTTATGACAAATTTCTGAACACAGTTGGCCTACTCAAAGGTTCATGTATTTTGGGTGCCCTGGTAGCTCAACTGGATAAGAGTGCGACCCATGTACAGGGCTATAGTCCCTGACGCAGTGGTTCGACTCCAGCCAGTGGCTCATTTGCTGCGTGTCCTTCCCCCAACCTTCTCCCCACGTTTCCCTGTCTGTCTTCACTGTCCTGTCCAATAAAGGCGAAAAAGCCCAGCAAAATAATCTAAAAAAAAATTAAAAAAGTTAATGTGTTACCTTAATCGTTATATTGATGATCACTATAGCAGCAGTTGTAAACAAAAGAGACCATTGTTGAAATGACTGTTGGTTTTGAATTAGTGGCATTAGACCGCAGGGTCCATAAACCCCTTTTTGCTTCCTGTTGCAAACAGGATGTTTGTGTTTGTTCCTCTTCCCTTCTGCAGCTCACACACATTTTTCTGGCTTTTCTGAAGACTGTCAACATGTTGCCTGTGATCAGCCTCTGTAAAGCCTAGTAGTGCACAAAGCACAGTGTAGAAAGGCAGATTTCACATGCCAATACCACAGGCCAGTTTAACAGAAAAGTTTGCCCCATAGTCCATGTTGCATTTTTGTAGGTTTTTAGGAACATCTACCATTGTTCACAGAAACTGCGCAATGCTTAAAGCTAAGGTAGGTAGAAATCTTGGAAAAGGCAAAAAAATAAATTCATTAATTAAATAAAAACAAAGAGCCCAAAACTGAAGTATCAAAAGCTGCAAGTCATTGAATATCATGTTCACAGCCTGTTACAGTGAGTTTTGGTCTCTGTAACTTCTGTAACTGTGCCACGACAGGGCAGTCCATGGCTCATAGACATTTGCATGACCCACCTCAGCTCCACTCACACGTTACCTCTTTGCCCATCCTTGGATTAGCCAGGACTGCAATGGCCAGAGCCACGACATGGAGCTTTATAACTGCTGTCCAAGAAACTAATAGGTTGTGTTTGTCCACTCTAACCCTCTCCTGCCCACTGCTTCACTCACTGTGCCACTACATCCCACCCTCACTTTATACTCTCTCATTTAATCTGGCTGAAAAGACCTATGAAAGCAGAAGAGGAGGTGCAGAAGTCTAGTTTTCTCTTAAACTATTTCAATTACAACATGCTGAACGGTTATGATGGGTTTTCTGCGTGATGATTTTAAAACTACACTGCCTACTTCAGCTTTAGTTTCTTATAATAAATGAAAATATTCTTGACAGTGCTTGTTAGTATTATTTTTTCAAAATTTTAATCATAGAAGAATAAACTCCAATGACTGTTCTTTCTAGCTGTCTGATTATTTGTGCGCTACTATACTTTTTTCCAAACTAACCAGTGAAGCCATTTTAAGATTTTACACAAATTTCCGACCCATGTGTGGACAAAAGGCTCATAGTCTTATGTCTGATTTCAATTATGATGCTCACTACTGTGCTCATCACTTGCTGTCTAACTGCCATTGTCAGGTAAATGTATCCATCTCTTATCTTGATCTCCTGATTTTGGCATGCTGGGATAATTTGTTTGCAGTTCATAAAAGTGACTTAAAGATAGTTGATACAGTGGTTTAATTGGATTGTTTCCCATTTATCCTTTTATTCATACACACAGGCCACAAGAGGTCTCAGTTTGGACGAGGACAGATCATCACGGTGGGGGATTGGTGGAATCCATCAGAATGTCACACTAACCGTCCATCCAGGGTGCTGTGGGCAGGATCAGACCCCAGAGGAGACGGATGTGCTCTGGGATACTAGTAACATAATGATCAGATAAATCAAATAGTTGTTTAAAGACAAATTTATACAGATGAACACAGGTTTGACTGTGGTATTTTGTAAGGTGAATGCTTTCTTCCTTTTGCTTGATGATTTCACCAAATGATTTTAATGTTGGGTAATACAACAAAAAAATTCCAGTTTATTGCACTTTCAAAACCTAGTGTCTCAGTAGCTACACTGCACCATCATGAAGTGCCTTATTTCACTATATTGTTATGTCAGTGTTTGTTTAGATCAGTGGTTCTTAAACTGGGGGTCGGGACCCCCGCACGGGTCCCAAGATCATTTCAGGTGATCGCCAGATCATTGTTAAAGTTAATCATTGTTAAAAAAAAACAAACAAACAAAAAGCCTACATTTATCAAATAAATTTGAATTAGGGCTGTCAAAGTGCATACTTCTTCCAACTCCTTTGCTGAACTTGTTAATATTATGGTTTGGTTATGTGATATTATTATTCTTTTTTGCTCTTTTTTAATGCTCTTCATGAAATAATTTTCTTTTGTGTATATATTTTTTTCCCTTTCATTTGTTCGAAAAACAATTCAATTCATTCATTCATTCAAAAGAAAAATAACGTGTTAATGTAAAGAGATTAATCTGGGGAATTAATAAATTAATTTTTAACGCATTAATGCATGAACAACAAAGTTATTACTCATTAGATATTAAAAATTCAAATGGAGGGGGTCACGAACACAAACTTATTTTGTCTTGGGGGTTGTGGCTCAAAAAGTTTGAGAACCACTGGTTTAGATGTTCCTGTTGTATGTTTACAGATCCTTTACATTTACTGGATGTAACCTGTGACATACAGAAAAAACAGAACAGTACATCAGTTAGAGCAATAGAATAGTATTTTGCATAACGGTTGTTGTTTGATAAAGTAATTGTAATTTCATCACACATATATCTCTCATTACTCAAAAGAAGTCTTGTGTAGTGGCTATTTGTCCTGAGATGAAGCAAAAATAAAAATACAATTATCAAAAGAGAAATAAAACAAAATCAAATCAAACGGCCACTGAGACACCTAGGGAATTAATTTGCGCAGGGAAAATAAGTCCATTGTCCAGGCGAAAATATAAAGTTTCTTTGGTTTATTTCCTTTGCAAGCAAATGAACAATGACTCCTGCCACCTCTCTTGCCCTGGTAAAAAATTATGAACCCTCCCTGGTGCCCTGTTCACTTGTACCTGCCCATATATGTAGATTCACCCAGTGCCCCAGCTACCCAGTACCTTCAAAATAAAACCATTAACAACTACGCAAATTAGCAAAAATGATGCTAATATTATAAGGCAACTAAAGCTGTATTCTTCAAACAAAACAACAAAATAAATGAGTAAATATTTAACTATTAAATATTACAAAAATGATGATAATACTAATAACAAATAACTCCAATAGTTGTATTTGTACTGTGTGACATTTTTCTAAATAAATCAAATTTAGATTCACTAATAATATGATGTGAATCTGGGTTATTTTTCCATTCAAATTAATTCTTTTTAATTGTTCTACATCTAAAAGTAGATTTGTTTCTGCTTTTGTTGAAAACAAACAAATTTAAATTCTGTAGTTTAGTGGATCTACAAGTGCTTCATCTATTTACAACAACATTGTTCATATTAACAAATGCCAAATAAATGTGGATGCACAAGTGGTTTAAGTTGTTACTGAACTGCTTGCAGCTGGAGCACCAGGTGTTAGTATACTATAACAATTCTAAAAAATGAGGCATTTTCTAATAAAAATGATGCCTTTACTTTGTCAACAGCAGGGCCTAAAGGAGGATCAGACATATAATCAGTTTACAAGATGTATCCAGACAGGCTTATTTGTGGGTCCTCAGAGTGCATTGAATTCTAATCATTTTTGTTCCAACACTGTAATACATCATTTAAACTTTGCACAAAATACATGAATAACTTTTGGTTGCATTCTAACACAGTTTTCTAGATGTAGTCACAGTACCCAGAGGGTTTTTTTTTTGTTATTTGCATATTGTTTGGCCTTTTATGAAACACCACTATTAAAAATCAGAATCTTTTTCACTAATGAGCATTCTTGCTCTCTATAGGATAAACCATTTCTAAATCAGACACTCCATTGGTTAAAGTCTTATAATCTCTACAGCTCTCAGAACATACAGTACAATATGATGCCTTATTTGTTCTGCATGTTTTTAAGCAGGCTGGGGGAAATGTGTGTTTTGCATATAAGCTTAATCTTTTAGTTAGTGAATTTTTAGCTGCCAGGAGACGCCCTGCTGTCCCTCACTGCGCCACACCGACAGACATGAATACAGAAGCACACCGACAGGGTAAATCATATTTCAGTATAAACAGTGGCTTAAAGTTGTGTGAAGAAATATGAGCGAGTCGGTAAAAAACTTGCAAACCACTTGTAGTTAGGAGCTAGCGTCTCACACATATTCCAACTTGAATACAAATCTCTGGATGCATAAACATGATGTTGAACTTTGTTTCAGTGTTGATCTCCTTACAGCTCCAAACACAGCCTGGTACCACTCCAATAAAGGGCCGTGTGTCCTGCTACCCAAACACACTCTCTGTTTTACATAATCTGCCTTAACCAACACAGCTCATTAGTGCAGGTCGTTAGTGGTCAGCTCCAGCTTACATCGCAGTTTATCTGGATGTGCTGCATTCCAGCTGGATTATAAAACAGCTCACAGTGTGTTGGGCCCCTTAAACACACACATGCACACATACAGTGTATGTGGCCTTTTCTGACACAGCACTATTGGAAATCATGTTGTGCCCTATTGCCCCACATAGACCTGCTGAGTTGTTTTATCATTATGACCCAGAAAGAAAAAGATAAATCTTAGCATAGCACTTGCACCCAAGGCCATCAACCCCAGTTACAATTTGTAATATTTAATGACCATTTTGGATGCACTGGTTCTTCAAACTGTTGTCATAACAGCATCACAGCCATGCAAGACACAAAACTTTTACAGGTTGAGATTTAAATGAAGGTTGAGTTCAAAGATGAATGTGGTCCGACCCATGAACTGATAACTCATGTAGTAATGTAGTAATGACTGCTGAGTATTGATAGGTTGAAACATTAGCATGTTCACCAAGTGCCTTTCTTTTTCTTTCTTTTTTTTTTTTTGAGGTGCTTCACATGATTATGTTTTAGACCTCCACGCCCCAATAAAAACATCAGGAAATTAGTCAGCTGTCCACGATCAAAATCAATCATTTATTGAAGGATTATAGACAAGATGCACACACTAGCTCTAAACCTCCATGTTTGGAGTTGTGTTGAGAAAATGTTTCAGTGGAGACCAAACTGTTACACTACTAAATGTTTTGTCTCTTGTGTCTTACAGAGATGTTGAGATTTCCACTCAGCAGTGGTGAAGTGCTAAAGAGTTTGCTACCATCACACGAATGCCGAAAGTTGTTTGGCGTCATAACATTTTAATAAATAAATAAATCAAAGTTAATTTGCATAGCACTTTTTGTACAGATTAATGCCACTGAAAGGGTGTTAACTAGACAGTGCAAGTACAGTCGTCCTCAAATGTATTCATACCCTTTCATTAACGAAAAGGCAAAATTTACAATAGTCAATCAAATAAGTAGAAACTAAAACAATTAATAACAAATAAAAATGTGCTAAATTATAATTTAGTGAAATAAGACATTGCTTTTGAACTGTGGTTGAAAAGAATAATTAAAAAAAAAACAAAAAAAAAAACTGTCCCCCGCAAATTAGAGCACTTTGCTGATGAGCAGTGGCCAAAATCCAAACACCTGTCAACAGGTGCAGAAGTCTGATTGAGAGTTACAGAAAACACTTGATTGCAGTGATTGGCTCAAAGGGTTGTTCTACAAAATGCTAGTTTACGGGTCCCATCATGCTTGTTTTTTGTTTGTTTGTTTTGAAATATTTCTGTTGAACCACAATTCAAAGCAATGCCATGATTTTCATTAAATTTTTATGTATTATTACTTTTGTCAATTTCAGCTTATTTCAGTGACAGCTGTTTTTTCCTTCTTTAATGGGAGGGTATGAATACATTTGAGGACGACTGTATATAGCAGGTCAGCTGCAAACTAGTAAAAATAAGAACTAAACATTCTAAAAATCAAATACTACATTTAAATTAAATGACAGGCACATACTCTAAACATCTAAAAAAGTAGAAATGTGCAGGTTCTCTGGTTCTTTGTCTGTAAACAACAAATATATAATGTTAAAAAAATATATAAAATAGGCCATCTTATTCTTTTCAGAGATATTCAATTTACAGTTTGCTGCCAAAGACTACAGCATGAGACTTTAACTTAAATATAAAATATTAAGTGATTATCAAAATTGTTAACTTAATACATTTTTTGTCAGTTGACTGCAAAGTGGCTCGGTGGTTAGCACCGTCGCCGTGCAGGTAGAAGATCCCTTGTTTGTGTCCCGGTTAGGACGCCTGGGTTCTTTCTGTGTGAAGTGTGCATGTTCTCCCCGTGCAGCGTGGGTTCTCTCCTGGTTCTCCGTCTTCCTCCCACACAGTCCAAAAACTAAATTGTCTGTAAGTGTGAATGTGTTTGGTTGTTCGATAGACTGGCGACCTGTCCAGGGTGTCCCCTGTCTTCACCCTAAGTCAGCTGGGATAGACTCCAGCCTCCCCATGACCCTAGTGAGGATTAAGCAGTGGATAGATAATGGATGGATGGATGAACTACTAAATCTATCTACGATTTCATTCCTCTGCTAAATTGTTAATCTTGGACTGAATACATTTTGAAGATGCCACCTTGGACTGCTGGAACTTTTGATTTTTACAATTGTGTCATATTTTACGCACTAAATATATTAAAATGAATAATATACTTGATAAGATAATTGTCTTTTTGTAAGTCTGTTGCATTTACACGTAATTAGGTGCATTCACTGAACAAATGTGTGCACCATGTGGACAAAAGGGATTAGGAAAAAATGCACTGATTATGTATTTAAACATGTCGACCTGCTGTTATGACTGAGTCACTCTGAGGGAAATTAATTCTATAGAGAGTTGTGTGAGGCCCTGCTGTCTGAGAGGCTGTGGGAAACACACACACTCACACACACACACACACACACACACACAAACACATGCTTGTGGGATTTTTCATTTATTCTGAGCTCTGTGCAGCCATTGGTCAGTCCCCTTCCTGTGAGTGTGAGTGTGCTTCCTCACGTCCGTCGTGTCATGGCAGGACTCCCTTCTGTAGAGGAAAGATAATCTGTCCAACTCTTACAGACCCACACTTACACACCATCACACACACACTTGCAGTGGGCTCTGGCCACTTGTTTTTACTTCCTGGCTCCCCAGCTGCTCCGACCCTTCCCTCCTCTCTTTCCTTCTTTCTTTCTCTGCCCTCCTCAGCCCATTCCAGCTCTCTGCTCTCCTCCCTGCGGCTGCGAGTGTGTTTTTGGGTGAGCTATGTGTTGCTCGGTGGGTTTTGCCAGGTCCCTGGGCCTGGCTTTGTTGCCTCTGGCCCTCTGCTGTATCGTGGCCAACCTGCTGCTGCTGTTTCCAATGGGAGAAATCGCCTACATCCAGCAGGACCGCCTGGCCAGCTACATCTGGTACTTTGGTGGACTAGGAGGTGGGGGGCTGCTGGTGAGTACAAAGAAACTGCATTTAAGTTATATTTAGATGATGGAACTCTACTACTGATTAGTTATTTGTGTTATGTGTAGGGCTACATTTTAGGAGATTTTTCAGCTTTAGTCTGATCAGATATCTTGAGGTTGCAACATCTCAGCTTTAGATAAGTGGTGAACGTACACCAAGGTTTAGGTGCTCTTTATGGTGGTGACATATTTTGAGGAGGGGAAAGTGCACTTTAAGGTTACATAATTTTATTTTATCACTTGTTTTTCATTGACACTGTCCCTGAACAAAGAAGCAGTAAGATCATCCTCGATTAGAACTTTAGCACCATGTGCTTTACTTTTACTTATAACTTTACAGTAATGTGATGACTTAAAAAAAATACTTGAATGCCTCCAATGTAACTTCTGACATACCCCCCCCCACCCATTTATTTTTGCATGGCACTCAACAATCAAAACAACTTCTAGAATGTTAACTTTAGTTTGTTTGACATGAGATTGAAGACAAAATCCTGACAATTCCTGACCAAATTGTCATCGCAGGTTTTTGTTGCAGCTTGTTTCCATTTATCTTCAGTTTTCTGCTGATTAAATGGGTGGGGGTAGCAGCAGTGTAAGGGTGGTGTAGAAACAAGGAGTTGCAGACAGACTGTGCTTTTGAGGGGTTTGAATGCTAGTAATTCATTTAATATAGAGAATAAGCAGCAGATGTCATTTTGACAGTGCTGCACCTTGCATCGTGTTAAATGATTCTGATGATTATTATCAGGAGTTTGCCAAAAGCAGTGCCGCTCACCATAATGATTAAGGAGAGGTGAAGGTAAGAAGAAAGCTGTTTTGTAAGGAGGTGATGGTGCAACTTTGTTTGAAATGTTAGATAATCAGATTGGAGTACTTTGCCTGGCAGAGACTGAAAAGACTTAGCGGATGTGGGTTTAATTGAGGTTAACTGGTGCCACGTGGTGGAGTCGTCACCGTTAGATTCAGTGAGGAGAGAAGTTCACTGAAACTAATTGTAATGAGTTTCACTGTTTTTTATTCTAGAATCAAAGGGAGGGATTTTCATGTTTTGACCGCTGCATGTTACACAACTTTTTTTTTCCATTTGAAGCTAAATGAATGAGAGTGTTTGATAGCATTTGAGCCATGTGACTCTGAAACTCACCACACTGCACCGAAGACGAAGCCCTTTAAAAGAGCACGAGGACGTGAAAGCCAGTGTCACCTCCCTTCCTCCCTTATTCAGTGGGAAGGGTGAGGGACGCTGGTACATGCAGATACAGTGGTGACAGTGTTAAAACATGCACACTGACTCTTCCTTTTTTTGTTTGTGGTGATTATTGCTTTTTTAGGATTTTTTTTTCTTCCACGTCATTGATTGTAGTTTGTAATATGCAACTTCTGTCTCATACAAATGTGATGAACAACAAAAGATTCCTAAATGTCAACTGTTTGCTCTTCAGCATCATTCAGTCTGAATGTGATCGAGAACAATGTAGTGTTGTGTGAATCCACAGTTAATCCGTCTGTTCTGCATGCTGCTGATCTGATGGGTTTATGCTCTGACTGAGCAGAAAGGAACTGTTCATTTAGTTTGGTTTTATGGAGAAACAGAGGAGAGGTTGTATTTTGCCAGACAAGATTAACTTGTTGATCAGCAGAGCACTTGTACTGGGTAGCAAGAACTCTAAAATCTCTGAAATGTTTAGATTTTGTAGTTTGTTTTGGGGGGGGGGAAATACTCAAATGTTTACATCCTTTGCAAAAATGTGTTACTACAGAACATAACTGTGAAGGAAATGAAACCACAACAAGTAAATATCATACATTCCATTGCAGCAGCAGATGTTTTCGGAAGCATTTCTTAGCAGCTTGTATTTCACTTACTCATTTAATTATTATCTTCTCCAGGGATTCAGTGTGAAGTTGCCAAAACAGTTATATATGCAACAGGTTTTTAGTGGTTTGTTGCCACGGCATTCAGCATGCAGTGATGAATCTGCACAGAACGAACCTGAAAAGCACAGGACGGGTGTTAGCAGATGTTTGGTCTGCAGAGAAATGAAAGTAAGAATTCAGGATCTTTAAAATGCCTCTTTCACAAACACGAGATGCTGATCAAAGTTCAGGAGTTCAGGCTGAATAAACTGAACTATATGGATTCACGTGGTACATTCTCACTTAATTGAGCTTTCTCCTTGTTAAGCTGCTGTTAAATACACGTGCTGTGGATGTTTTACTGTAAAAGCCAAGAGATTATTTCCCTTCAACTGCTGGAAGGGGAATAATCCCTTTCTAAAATGTAATTAAAATTTTAAAGCAAGAGAATTTAGAGATAAAGGTCTCCAGTAAGAGCCAATCTTAAATATCTGGTCTGGATGTTAAGGTAAATAAAGGCCGTGCTCTCCAGTGACCACTGTGCACCTGGGATTGTGTTTGGAGATTTACATACATGACTTTATCTTCAGTTCAGTTTTTTTCCCCCTTTGTCTAAGATTACTTATTGTCCTTATTTTTTCCTCTTTGGCCTTCTTCTATCTTTGTGGAAATGACAAAATGCTGGCGTGTCAAAGAGCAAACTGAAGCCCTCTGAAAGAAGTCTATCTTTAGTTTGCTCCCTTCCTCTCCCTTGCTCTTCCTCCCTCCTTTTTCCTTCTCTCTTCCTTTCTCGCTGTGCGCTTCCCTCCAGTCTCTCTTTCTGCAAGGATAGTGCTTTAGGGAGACATTCAGGATGTGTAGTTTTGCTCTGATCTGTGTGTGTGTGTGTGTGTGTGTGTGTGCGTGTGTGTGTATGTGTGTGTGTGTGTGAGACCTTGGGAGCTTCCCTCCATCTGTTAGGATGTGATTTAAGGTCGTTGACAGGGAGGCAACAACACAGGAAAGGGGAAGAGAGGAAAAAGGGAGATGAGAAAAATAAAACAGTAGATCTCTGAAACACACAGGTGTAGAGTTCCATTATGTCTCCCTGTCTCCTGCAGTCCTAAGGCTCTCTATACATATAAGCTGTATCTCAGCTGCTGGTATATAGTCCAGTCGGCGCCCAGAAGTCACGTTTGGCCATCTGTAATTACTGTTACTGTCAGGACTTAGTAAGCATTAGAACGGGGCATCATAAATCATGTTTGCTCAGCACTCTTGCTTGACTCCAGCTATAGTGAACTGTAACACATCTCAGTAGAACTGTGTTGTTTGAAAGCTGGTATGTCCGTATGCCAGCTTTCAATCACTTTAGGTCAGAGTCAGACATTTCAAAAAGTTTTTCAACAAGTATTACTGTGATTAAATTTGGTATCAAAATTTATGGTCTCATGCAGCTACATTTTAGGGATTTCCATGAACTACCAATCTGTGATGTTTCACCACTGATTGTATACAAAGATAGCAGAACCACGGGTTATTGAACAACTATTTTGAACCTCAGTGTGGTGGCTCTTGCTGTTGCCAGCTTGCCTGACTCCTCCTAAGATCAGTGGTGTACTTTCCAAGTCCATGAGTGCACAAGGGTCTGCTAGGGTCTGCATGATGTACATTTTGTCATCTGCCCTACTGTTCTAGTATGGAGTGGTCTTCTCCCAGCACACTCCACGTGGACCAGAAAGTAATATTATAGGAACAACTATGCACCTAAACATGTGCATGTCCCAAAGGGTGTATAATCAAGGCCTAACTCTTGCCTCATCTAACAATGAGCAAAGAGTTGAAGGTCTGAATGGAGCTGAGCCAGGCCATTAAAATGTCTCTGGACCATGGACTGTCCTATGATGGCACCCACTTGTCATTCCAAGTGTCTGTGTCCTTAAATATGCATAACTGAAGGTTTTAATACAATTTAAATGGATGTGTTACATCAAAAATCCCTCCCATTATTAGAAATTATCCACAGAGGCTAAAACCTCATTTGTACCAGGGCAGTAAAAATGTTTATTTCTGCTGTAAAGTTGGACATTTTAACAGAGAGTTCTGTGGGGATTGACTGGAGCCTTAACAGGCTATTCGAGGATCTGTAGTTTCTGGCACTTTCGAGTTAGCTTCATTTTTCAGGCTCAGAGGTCACATCTTGTGTAGGACCACGAGCAGGTCAACATATCCGCTTGCAACAGTTTAGTTCAGGATGCCTCTAAGTCTCAGTTATGTCAACTTCAGCTCTGCTTGATGATATTACGTGACTACTGCACCATAACAACCAAAACGTGACAGCAGCATGTGTTAGCATTGTGTTCAGCTAGACAGTGGACAAGTGTATTACTGCACTGAAAGTCTGAAACCATAAAGCTGAACTTGTTTACTAAATGTCCTAAAATGCACCTCAAGCAGCTACTTCCTTTTCATTTAGCCAACAAAATCCATTATTCTGGCAACACTCAGGCTAAACTTTGAATTCCGTGGCCCAATAAAGCTTTAGTTGTTACTATCCAGCATTTGATTCTAATGGGTGTAGTGTAATGGGTATTACAACCTCATGTTGCTGGTGTTGTTAGAGACCTCTTGACTGAATTTGACTGCAAAGGTGGTGACATATGTAGCAGTCCAGATGGTGTAATACTGTGACAGCTCTCAGTGACCGTCAGCAAACAGAAGCAGGATCCGAGATTTATAATCATGACTCAAACTTCTGGATCATAATCTTTGTCTTTTTTCATTAGTAGTTGTTGTTAATGAACAAAAAAACAATGAAAACTTGCTGTTGTTCAGAAATGCTTGTGAAACATTGTACTTTTCTGTACGTCCAGATGCTGGTTCCAGCTGTGGTCTTCTGTACTCTGGGGAAATGTAGCTGCTGCTGGAATGAGAGCTTAATGGTAAGAAACTTGATCAGCTATAAATTAAAATCTGCAGGCTTCATTATGTTTTTACAGTCTAATAAAATCCAGCCATTATTTCCTAACTGTCCTTCAATGTCTGTTTTTCAAAATATCAAAATATATTTTGGCTGAACTCATACCAATTTCATTGTCATTTTCCTGTTTTGTTTTTTCTCTCAACACTTGTAATACTCTGAAGCTGTCATTTAGCAAGCCAACACTGTGCCCTTATGAGGTAGAATGCTAATGCTAATCCAGCTATGGTCATTTAACAATGGTCCCATTGTTAGGTAACAAAATAAGCTTGGCTCGCTTCACTCAAGCCCCATGCACAGCTGCAGCTGTGTGTGTGTGTGTAGCAGCTGCCTCTGTATCTCATGTGTGAAATGGATGAGAGAAGCAGGTTACATTCATTCATATGAACAGAAAGTCACAGAAAAACATTGACAAAGGCATCCAAACATGTTCTTCTTAAAAGTCCCTGTGTGTGCTGTCCATTGCTCCACAGATGTGTGGCTCAGTGTTGGCAGCTGTGGTCGGCCTGGTGGGGTCCAGCTATTGTTTCGTTGTATCAGGGTTTGCCTTGGTGCAGGGACCCCATTGTTTCACCGTGCTGGGTTGGTCGTACCCCTTCGCAGAACAAAAGGGCAGGTAAGGAGATACTGTACTGTGCTGTGCAGGCTCACTCTAATATTATCAGTTTCATTTCATTATTAATTATTCCTGTCTATAAAATGTCAGAAAGCATAAACTTTGGTAACACTTTGGGATAGCTTCTGCTGTCTGTCTTTATTTCTGCCAATCAACTACGTCCTTATTCAAAAATTATTTTAGCATTATATTATGACTGGCGACCTGTCCAAGGTGTCCCTGCTTTCGCCCTCAGTCAGCTGGGATAGGCTCCAGCCCCCCACGACCCTAGTGAGGATTAAGCCGTGTGTAGATAATGGATGGATGGATGGATGTTTAAGAAGGCCTGGGATCTTTCTGCGTGGAGTTTGCATGTTCTCCCCGTGCAGCGTGGGTTCCTCCCACAGTCCAAAAACATGCCGAGGTTAATTGGTGATTCTAAATTGTCCGTAGGTGTGAATGTGAGTGTGCTTGGTTGTCTGTCTCTAAGTGTAGCCCTGTGATAGACTGATGATCTGTCCAGGGTGTCTCCTGCCTTCACCCTGAGTCAGCTGGGATAGACTCCAGCCCCCTGTGACCCTAGTGAGGATGAAGCAGTGTATAGACAATGGATGGATGTTCTTAAAGGCTGGTAGTACTGTTAAAAAAAAACTACTGATTCGTTAAAATAAATAAATAAATAAATAAAATAAAAATAATTGTAGCCTATAGTGTTTCTTATATGCTTTAACTACTAATATAAAATAAGCCTGACCACATACCCCAGCAACACTTTTACCTCATCATATTGTGCTACCAGCTACCTATCACTGGTAAAAGTGACTGAAAGATTAAACTTCAAAAAAAGTTAGCTTCTCTTGTGATAAATGTCCAAGGTACACATGTGATAATGCACAAACACGGCCCCGGTTATGGAAAAAAAATAGAGATTCTCTTCCACTATGTTTATTATTTTTGCATGTCAGGACACTTTGTCATTTATTATTGCCTAATTGTGTGAGCCGTCACCATGTATCTAGAAACAGCTTGTCACCTCTGTATTCCAGCACAGCATTAGAGGAATGTAGAATAACACTCAACAGCTGCATTTCTACTAAGATTTTGCATCTGACTCGGTGATTTACTCCCTGCTGACACTTTCTCTCTCTCTGTCCCAGGTATCTGTTGCAGCCAGAGACTTGGTCCCAGTGCCGTCAGCCGGTTCATATTGTAGAGTGGAACGTCACTCTGCTGTGTGTGTTACTGGGCCTGGCTGTGCTGGAGTTCATTATCTGTCTCTTACAGCTGGGAAATGGTTTAGTCAATGCCGTCTGCCGGCCCTGCTGCTACAAGCAGGAGTACAGTCTTAATGCTTAGAGAAACATGTTTGTGTGAGCATATAGACCCAGCTGCACAGATATACTGCATGTGGACAGATAAAAAATAAAACATACACACATTACATGTATGCACATGTAGACTACATTAATGGACATATGCACATGCAGCAGTCTGCACACATGGCCTCATTACACCACCATGTGGTTGTGAGTGGTACAGCACAGCCTTTAACTGAAACACACTAGCACATACAAGCTCATGAACATGTGACAACCATGTCAGCTGTGTGTAACCACAAAATTTTCAAGCTCTCAAGTTGCCAAGTTAAAGTAGGAAAGTCACTGTGCAGTCATTGGCACCATGATTTAATAACATGTCTTTTATATTCCATATGATGAAGAGGTTGTACTTTATTGACTTGGGTGGTGAAGATGCTGAAAGGAGGCTCAGCTGGCTGACATGTACAGATAATAAGAAAGAAAAGGAGCATCCCAGATCATAATAATTATTGAAGGTGTACTGGGTAATACACAGCAGTCTGTTACACATCGTTCCAAGAATTGCTCAGCCTTTTTAGTATTATTTTATTCTCTATAATTCGTATATTTACGTAAACCCAACAACGTCTTTGGTAACATGATGCAAAAATCTAAATGAGATCAGTATTATTATTCTGCATTAATACACTTAAGATGCCAGCCAAGTATTGTTTATTAATTTGGAAATGACATTAGCTCATGTGGCTATTTCCTTAGCCTAGGTGATGATGTTTTTGCAAGAAGCAATGCACATTTCTATGATTTTAAGTTTTGACTGTGCCTTCTTGTCTACCATTAAGCGCACTGAAGTGTCTTTTCTGTCTAGTTTTATTTCTGTGCTTCCGACATTTACACTGCATTGGATGCAACACGAACAGATTTGTGTGTTTGTACATTTGTTTTCATTTTCAGTACATTTTGTTGTAAATTGTTTTCCTAATGTCTTTCAGATGCTAGTTCAATGTTAACGGACATTTTATATATATTTTAGTGACATATTTTTATAATGTACCGTTTGTTTGTGCTGCCTTGAATAAAAAAAGAACTATTTCAATTTTATATATCCAGTGTTTGACATTAAAGCTTTTGAGAGGGAGGGTAAAAAAAGTTTTCTTTTGTATGATTATAACACATAACCAAAGGAACACAATCCTGAATGCCCCAGCAAATCATGTCTTTTATTTATCTGATGATATTCTCTGGCACAACGTTACTCCCTTTGGCCCCACTCACTTCAATAGAGGAGGGGATTTACTGGCACAAATTCTGTGTCTTTGTGCACACACTTTGCCTGGTGTGTTGTAATCAATTCCTGGACAAGAGTTTGTGTGCTGGAGGTTTCCAACATTGCCTGTTATTGATCCATATCGGAATCTAAACTGAGTAAATGTTGCCTCAGACTCTGAGAGCCGAACCCACTGGATGTTTTCTGTCAGTGACTAAAATCTAATTTTAAGGACCCACCTTAACGTAACTGGAGGGAGGTAATTTCTATGTTTCATCCACAACACATCATGAGCAAAATTGTTAGCAAACCTTTAAATAATGACAGCCCCATCTTGAAAGTAAAATAAATGTACTTCAGTGATATTGATTAATAAGTTGCAATTAATTAATCTAAAATATTACGGGGTCATCGATGAACTAAATGAGTCCATTACACATTTAAGCAAGGCAGCTGTCAGCGTTTAAGCTTTCAAAGTTACCACTGAACAGCAGTATTGACTGGATCAAAAGTCAGTGTCATTGGCTAATCAAGACAACACAGATTTCCGGCTGTGTTTCTGCAAGCTCAGAACAAAAAAAACAACTGATACAGATTAGGGTTTCTTTAAGCCAAAGAAAAAGAGATTATTCCAACGTCAGACTTTTAAGCGAAGCACGGTCTACCTAAGATAAATATTGCTTGAATCTGATCTGTGGATGTTGCTGTGTAAAACAAGTTCTGTTCTTATGTAAGTCCACCCTGCTGATCAAACAGCTTGCAGTCTGTTAGTTTGGTTCAAACACTGTCTGATGGTCAGTGACCCACCCCTTTGCTCTGCTTGGCTGATCCCAGCTGTTTGTCGGTATAAAGACACAGAGGGTCTCAGGTTTGGGACACAGACTGACTGACAAACCGCTGTCAGTTGACTGCACTGTCTGTCTTCATCTTTATCGTCTGCTGGAGTACTGGGCAGAAACAAAGACTCCTCATCTGCTTCGTTAGTTTTTCTTCGGACTAGCATTTGGGGAAGTGCCAGCACTTTGTTGTCAAAATGTGTAGTTTGAGGGTTGTGTTGTTGTTGTGGTGCGCAGCAATAAGTGTGTCTGGGATGAGAAGAGAGTACGTCCTCAGGATAGAGGAGGTGTCTTGGAACTATGCTCCAAGTGGAATGAACGTGATTCAAAACCGCACACTGCAGGAAGATGAGTAAGTACACACAAGTTACATTGTGTTGATTATGCGTCAATACCGGCCTGTTGTCTCTGAAGCCCGAGGTGACACATGCAAAGACACACATGCAGTTAGATGAAGAGACATACTTTTGCAAAAACAGATTTTTTTTTTAAATGCAAAAAAGAAAAAAGAAAAAGACTGCAGTAGCTACACAACACAATAGGAATGATTAATATTGGTCACATATTGACTACAGATAATGACACAGGAAAACATATGTAGTACCTGTACTACACTACATGTCCTGCAAACATACATTTATATGAAGTCTTTGTGACTGATGATTTAATTATATATACTCATTTAGAAATTGTGTGACATTGTGTGGAATCAAAGGCTGCATTTCATGAAAGGCATTTTGACATGTCAGTAGGGAGCACGCAGGTGGAAATAACAACATCAATGAGGCTGAATTTGGTGCTTCAGTTGCAGAGACTTGGTTTTGTGTCTGCTGAAAAGTCATAGTTTATTGGGAGATGTCAGTAGAAGACAGTCATTGTTAATGGCACCTGTAACACTAATGCTTTTCTTTCTGATCATATTGGGAAAAATGTCCAATAAACCATTAACCAGATCATTTCAAAGAGTTTGAAACATTTTATCTTAACACAGACGCATCTTATTCTCTCTCTCTGGCTGGATCTCCCCGTAGAGAAGCCTCAGTCTTTTTAAAGAAAGGCCTCCAGCGCATCGGCCCCACTTACAAGAAGGCGGTTTATAAGCAGTACACAGACGCCACCTACAGGACTGAGGTGCAGAAGCCCGAGTGGCTGGGTTTCCTGGGACCAGTGCTGATGGCCGAGGAGGGAGACACAGTGGTCGTCCAACTGAGGAACGCAGCATCCAGACCTTACAGCATCCACCCACACGGGCTGAACTACAGCAAAGGCAATGAGGGTGAGAAAGGAACAAACTGATTTAGTATCAAAGCACGAGAGGATTGAAAAAGCTGGTAGATATGTGACTGTTTTTGTTTTCGGTCCTCAGGAGCTCTGTACCCTGATGGTACAGGTCCAGATCTGAAGCGTGACGACTCAGTGGCTCCTGGCAGAACAGTGATTTATGAGTGGAGCCTCCCTGAATCCCACAGCCCAGCATCACAGGACAGTAACTGCTTGACCAGATTCTACCACTCCCATGTCAGCCCACCAAAAGACATCAACTCAGGACTGATAGGACCCCTCATTGTCTGCAAGAGAGGTACTGGAAGATCGTAACCCCACCACATCAGCAGTACAATTTTGGGACACTGAGTTTTTCCATGACGTATTACTTTGTACTTTTACTCCACTGCATTTAAGTATCAGCATCAGAAGAAACATTGCTTTTACACAGGTTCATTTCTACATCCTAGTAAATATTTTTGATGTGAATTTTTCTCCCACAACTCACAGTGTCTCACAAATATGATCAGAATTCAGTAATAGTTTGTATCACAGATAAGCTGATTAACAGATTAGCAACGAAAGGTAATCGATTTATTGGACACCATTTCTGTAGTTTCAGTCATGTTTATTTTTGTAATCAGACAGTCACAACTGTGATCACATAGACTGTGTCTACTTCATCTGTGCGGATCAGATTCAAGTAGGACCCATTTCTCACCCTAACATTAACATGAATAGAAAAAATCTTTGATGATGCACATTAAACAGTGATTAACGAATGCTAGCTGGAAGAAAACATTTATAATTTTGGCAAAATGCCTGTTTATGCACAAACAGATCACTGATCATAACAATGGCACTCTCTCCTCTCCTACAGGAACTCTGGACCTTCATGGCGACAGGTCAGGAGACTACATGTACGCTCTGCTGTTCATGGTGACCGATGAGAACTTTAGCTGGTACTTGGATGAAAACATCAGGACCTACATCCCGAGTCCTGCCACAGGCCTGAAGGAGAATGAGGATTTCATTGAGAGCAACAAGATGCATGGTGAGGAGGAACATCTGCACATCTGCATCCTTATACATGCACAAATACACAATTTAACCCTGAGTGTGTTTTGCAGGTATAAATGGTTTTCTGTATGGTAATCTGCCTGGACTGAGCATGTGTCAAGGCAACAAGATCCACTGGCACTTGATGGCCCTGGGCAATGAGGTAAATACTGTGTTGTTTTCATTTTAACCATAAACCAGAACATTTGATGGTAAGGAACTTACTGAAGATCATTTTTCTAATGTTAAACCTTTATGTACCATAATAAAAACAATCTTGTTCCTCTGCTGGGATTTAATATCAACCATTTGAACCACAGCATTGTAGCTTGTTGCTTGTAATTCTAGCTCAATATTAGCTGTAAAGTCTTAGAAAAGAAGAAGAAGAAGTTAGACATATTTTCTTAAAATTAGACAAATTTTCTTAAGCAAAAACTTGCTTGTTAAGATTATTTTACTTTTTAGACAAAAAATAAGAACAATTTCCCAGAAATAAGATTTTTTTACTTTCTTAAAAATCCTTTTTTGCAGTGAAGGTTTAAAGTTTAAATGTTATTTTTTTACAGGTAGACATGCATTCAGTTCATTTCCATGGCCAGATCCTAACCACCCTAAACCACCATACAGACACAATCAGTCTTTTCCCGGCCTCCGGCACGACAGCTGAAATGGTAGCTGACAACCCCGGTCACTGGCTGCTGACATGCACCGTCAATGACCACCTGATGGGTGAGATCACATGTTCTAGTCTTGACATGAGACTCCATTGATATGATTAGTGGATAACATCTTACTGAGTACTGTTTGCATGCATCTGTTTTGTGGTTTAATGCAGCTGGAATGCAGGCTTTATTTGAGATCAAGAAATGTTTCCCTAATGTCCATAAGCCTCGGCCTCACGGTGAGCTCAGACAGTTCTTCATTGCTGCTGAAGAGGAAGTCTGGGACTATGCTCCCACGGTGCCTACTGATGGGTTGGTCACTCTAAACATGCAACTTAATACAGAAATGACGCTCTTCTTCTACTTCTGTAGAGACCTAACCCAATTCTAATTTATGCTTTTGTGTGTGCAGTGAGGCCGACATGTTCGTAACCAGAGGTCGGAACCGCATTGGAAGCCGCTACAAGAAGGTTCGCTATGTGGAATACACTGACAACACCTTCTTGACGAAGATGCTACGCAGCCCAGAGGAGCAACACCTCGGAATTCTGGGTAATTCTTGCTGGATGTGGGTTTTAGGTTACACCATTTAACTATGGAAAAAGGAAAAATAAATACAAAGGTTCTCTGGAAATAAAGTTATCGGCTGAGTTACTCAGAAACAACTGACATTAATAAATGTAGCCAGTAGCTCTTGCTAACAACCCAAAATAAACAGTTTGAATCTTACTCAATTAGTAGATTAGATAGTCATTACTCCGTATTTGTAATGTCTAACTTCAGCAACTGATTCACAGTGCAGCACAGATTATTGCAACATGTTGGCTCCTTGCCATCCTGCTTGAAAAAAGGAAAAAGAAAAAAAGAGCCTGCTGTTTATTTTATTCATGAAGCACTTTTACCCAACAAACTAAAAACTTCTGAAGAGCTAAAACAGCACACTCATAGAGCAATGCAACAAAACTGAACTTGTCCTCAGACATATTTTAATTGAATAAATGGCTCTATGCGTCTTAAACCATGTTGTTAATTCATCTGATGCATTGGTTTTCAATTAACCTCC